AGTGCAAGGTCCCAATGCCAATGTGTGAATGCGCAAATGTTTGTGTGTACGCGCACATTTTAATTAAAACATCAATATAATTGCAGGAGCGAATACTTTTATTTTCAAGTGGTATTCTGGGTAAGCACATGCCCAATTTGTTAATGTTTGGCAAACGCAGACACAAATAGAGGTGCATTGCACTGCGAGACGCTAAAATACAGCTGCCATATTATGATGATGGTTTATACACAAGAAATAAACATATAGACAACATTATAGGAACATTCGCAGAAGATTAAAACTGCAATAAATGCACACAACGACATGGGCACATACAGTGCACAACGCAACACGGCAGTTGTTTCCTCAGCACTTGACTCCGACATGAACCGAAAAATGAAAAGAAAAATGTTGGCTATGTTTTCTTTCCCACCTTCGCAATAGGTTTCTCCTGCACAGCTCACATTGCTCTTTCGCGAAAAACAGTCACAAGCAGTTGCCGCAGCAAAAACAAAGCGATTTTCTGTGTCATGCAAGCCGTTAACAAGGCAGAAGTGTTTAGTCATAGATTACGTCCTAGCTTTATGCAACAATAATTTTTCTAAATAAACCACTTCTCTCTTTTTGCGCTCGTTAAAGATTTAGGCAAATTGCGAACGTCACAGATAACGATACTGAGCATAGCTGCACTTTTCACAAAATCTCACTCATGCATTAAATTCGAATATATGTATAGCGGCAGAAAGAAAACCTAGCAACGTGACTGGCTACTCAATTTCTAGAGCCAAGAAACAATTTTCTCGCAAAAATGCGGCGAAGTATTCCGAACAGTTTTCTTTCATGCGAAGCATTCCAAGAAACCACTATGCGAAGTGAAGAGCACAAAAAAATATATCTGTGCCGAACAGCACAATGCCAGAAATGTTAGGTTAAGGCTTCAATGACAAATGCAATAAGCGCTTAACAAGGTATTAATGGCGTTCGTACCTAGCAGCAGCCAAGCTGAGAGGCAGACGAAACAAGTGAAGACCATGACGCACGCTTGGCACCTTACCGCACATCTTTTATGGCGTTTTCCTGCTGCTGCCCGTACTTCTTCATTGCTGTAAATGCTCATGAATACAGAGCGTGACAGCATTGCCGTCGAGTCGACGCCATGTGCACTTGTCTCGCATCCGATTCATGCCTGATCCCAGCCCGACGAAATCGCACCGTACAATCACAGACAATAAAGATGGATTCAGGCCACTATCTCAGTCGCAAAAAGACGTAAACGTGTAATGCATTAGAAAACGTACTGTAGTTGTAACTAATCCGCATGTTTTCTTGAAGCAGTAAGTGATGTGTTGCCATCTTACATCTGGCATAAAGTTTTGTAGCTTCACCGCTTTTGGCCCCGAGTGACTACTCTAGTAATTTTTATGTTACTCTATGGTTCTAGCGGCTCTAGACAAAATTGTGGGCCCATGTGACCCGACTACCTCAATGTGCCCGCTGCTTCTGAAACTAAATGAGCAAACTTGGGCGCTCAGCCACATACCACAGACTAAATTTGTATTTAGGTAATCTACTATTTTTGTAACAAATAAAATAAACTAATGAAAATAAGCGTTTACTATTTTTTGTTTTCATTATTGGTCCCCTCCTCACATAGTCGCGCTTCAATTGTCATGCGGTTGTTGATGTTTGTCGCATTAGGTTTTTGAACACTTCTTGTTCTGACTTTCGTGACCTATTTCAATTGACCTTGACTGAATTGCCAGCGCCGGCGAATAAGTCATTAAACTTTCGCGTGGTCACGTGGCACAGCAGTGGTCAGGATTCAAGCTATCATATAGCCGCGATGCCTCTTTGCAGCAGATCACGTGACATGATGTTATACGCCAGTCACCCTTGGGCCCCGGAGGCTCAAGGCCAATGCGACGCTATGAATGGGAGACAAAACTCAGTAGCGCTTTCGCTCTCAAATATCAGCGGGAGATCTTCACCGGCAAATCTTTATCTGAATTTTCTTTGTCTCTTTCTTTCTTTCACACAGTTTAGCTCTGGAGTTGTTTCTGGTTACGTTCAGAACTTAGATTGGGCTTTGGCGTAGCAGTTATTGTGTACTCTTGAATTACACCTATCAACCTGGATCTTCAGCAGTCGTGTACTAAAGGGCCACTCACCGGGCTCTCAAAGTAAAAAAAAAAACGAGTGCAATATTTTCTCCGGAAATTTTTTGTCCTTGCTCACTTCTGTGACGCATACAGTAGTTCTATTGACGTCTATTGTGTGCATGCTCTCGATTGGTTCCTATATGTGGAACATATATTCTGATTTGTGTCCCGCACTGCTTTGCCATGCAGCCGCCCATCCGTTGTTCTTTGTTTCGCCTGAATGTTGTGCGAGATAAACCGATCACACTTCATTTTGTATGTTTACAAGTGCAAAAGCAGCGATAACAGCGTGTAGGCAAGAAGCAAAACATCCTGATAGGTTCTACTGCTTATTGCTGACATTACAATTATTTGTTGGGTTTAACGTCTTAAACCAATTATATGATTATGAGAAGCGCCGCAGTGGAGGGCTCCGGAAATTTCGGCCACCTGGTTTTCTTCAACTTGTACCTAAATATAAGTAACCGGGCCTCAAGAATTTGTGCCTCCATACAGAATGTGGCCGCCGCAGCTGGAATTCAATTCCGTGACCAGCGGGTTAGCAGCCGAGTACTTTAGCCACTAGACTGCTGCAGCGTGTAGTGCTGAGATAATTGGCGTGCTTTTAAGCACCAAGGCGCGAGGAGGATGCATAGCGTGATTGAAGGGTAGCGAAATAGAGGAGAAAATTATCCCTTCGTCTTTGAACGTGCGGTGGTGAGTAGCCTTTCAACAGCCAAGCTATTGTGGCTCGCCGTAGTTCCTGCTTGGCAACCAGGAAAAAAAAAGTAGATCTCACGCACTGAGGTAATAGGTGTTATGCGAAGCACGAAAGGTGAAGGTTGAATTGTTACAATAAAATCAGCACAACTTTAAGAGGCGGACGTAAATTATGTCGTACATGACTTTCATATCTTTATTATCATGGTTGCTTCTGGCAATTGTGCTCGTCGTCCAATCACGTCATGTAATACCGAATTCGGTGTATGTGAAACTAGCAAACCGGCCTCGAGGACGCTATGAACGTAGCGTGTAGTCTTGTTTTACGTGACACGCATATCATGATTATCATGTTTAGACGTGTCATTTATATTCGGCGTCTATTCCGGTCACGTAATACCACAATTGGTATATGTATAGCTAGCGAAACAGCCGCGAACGCATCATGAGCGTGGTATGTAGTCATTTTCTTACATGACAGGCATATCATGATTACCATGTTTGCACCAACCATATACCTTCGTAATCCACTCACGTCAAGTATTGCCAAATTTGGTATATGTGAAGCTAGTGAAATTGCCGCGAGCACAATATGAGCGTAGCATCTAGTCATGTTTTACATGACACGCATGTTATGATTATCATGTTTGCACCCATTATATACCTTCGTCATCCATTCATGTTACGTAATACGAAACTGGTATATCTGAAGCCTGCAAAACGACCAAGAGCGCTTAGTCAGCGTAGCATGTAGTCATGTTCTTGCATGACACGCATTTCATGTATATCATGTTTGCACCATTCATATACCTTCATCATCCATTCAGGTCACGTCATATCAAATTTGGTAAATGTAAAGCTAGCAAAACGACCGTGAGCGCATCATGAGCGTGGCATGTAGTTATGTTCTTAAATGACATGTATGTGATGATTATCAAGTTTCCACTAGTCATATACCTTCACCATCCATTCACGTCACGTAATACCAAACTTGGTGTATGTGAAGCTAGCGAAACAACCCTGAGCACATCATGAGCATGACATGTAGTCATGTTCTTACATAATACGCATGTCATAATCATCATGTTAGCACCTTTCACGTACCTTCATCATCCATTGACGTCACGTAATACCAAATTTGATGTATGTGAAGCTAGCGAAACAATCGCAAGCGCATCATACGCGTGGAATGTTGTCATGTTCTTACATGACACGCATGTCATGATTTCCAAGTGAGAGTCATTCACTTATGTTTCCCAGGCAGTCATGGTATACCATTACCAATTTTGAAAAATATTAGATGAATGAAACCTCCGCAGGAGCAGCAAGACCTTGACATGTAAATAATCACATTCATGACATATGTGTGAAGTCTATCATGTTTGAACCAATTATATACCTTCGTTATCCATTCACGTCACATAATACAAAACTGGTATTTCTGAAGCCTGCCAAACGACCACGAGCACATAATCAGTGTGGCATGTAGTCATGTTCTTACATGACACGCATTTCATGTTTGAATCATTCATGTACACGTTAATCTTCCACTCACGTGACGTCCTAACAAATTTTGTACATGTAAAGCTAGCAGAACGACCGTGAGCGCATCATGAGCGTGGCATGTAGTCAAGTTCTTACATGACACGCGTGTGATGATTATCATGTTACCACTAGGAAATGGGAGGTGAGGTAGAGAAGGAAAGGCGTGATGGTGACGAGGAGGAAGGAAAGAACGAGAAGAGAGAGTAAAATATATCACAGAAAAGAAGAGGAAGATAGTTATAGGACGCAAGGCAGAAAAAGATCGAAAGAACGAGAAAGAATCAAAAAGAGAAACTATAGAAATCCATATAGATCGATATTACAGATGAAAAAATTAGGTGGGAAATAGAGATAAAGACAATGAACTAGACGATAGAGAAAGAATGATAGAAAACCAAGAATGAGAAAGAAATAGAGAGAGCCAAATAGAACGTTACAAGCTCCGGCTAAACTTTGAAAATGTTTGTGAACTAAAGCGTGAGTATACCCAAGACTCAGCCCCGGATGAAGAATAATTAGCACTGATTACAAGAACCTAGATCTCAAGTACAGCTCGCATGTTAGAAAGGACTAAACTCTTACACCTAAAAACGACCACGCTGTTCTTTGACGCAG